TTTAGTGTAATGCAGCTCGGTTAGTACTATTCCCTAGTTTCAGCACAGATATCAAAACTGTCATCGCACTACGGTACACCCGGAAAACAATGGAAGTTACGCCCTACCAATGTTGCACGCGCGCATACGATAACGTACTTTTGATCCGGGTTCAAATAAGGGAGGTATATACATTAGTGCTCGACTTTAATATAGTAATAGAGTAGTGATATTGGCTGTGAATATAAGAGTTCAGCAAGATGATGCTGAGTTGTGTTGTTGGTACGCGGTTGATTATGCAACGACGTCTAATAATACAAACCCGTGTTTTACAGCAATTGACCTCGACCCTGATTCTCGTCCTCAAGAGTTGCGCCGTTGAGCCAGTTTCCAAATCCCAACTCGATCATGATGGTACAAACGAGCTGAATCTACAGGTCCAATATTTTCGTATACCATAGTCAGCGGAAGTGATCTGCGTGTAGAAAAGATTTGAATCAACTCCTCATTGAAGACCTGTTATCCTGCATCCCAAGTCTGTGCTGACGTTTGCTCCACATACCCAATATGGACTTCGAATTGGATCACTTCGTCTCTGACGTTCTACAGCTCAAGTCTGGACAGCGATCGCGGGAATCCACAGCCATGATCTACCGCGTAGCCATATTGTTGACGGTGTTCATATTTGTTGCCAGCAGCTACACATTCGCAACGCCCAATAAGTCCTATTTACATGCAAATAAAACACCCCGCAGTTTACAAGAAAGCCTCTCTCGGCAACTGGAAGAGAGAGGCTTCCTGACGAATGTCGTGACAAACGTGAAGATGTGGTGGAAAACGAGGAGGTGGGCCAAGAAAGGAACTCCAGAGAACGAGGTTAAGAAGGCGTTGGGGCTCGACAAAATGACCGAAAGTTCGATAAAAGCCCATCCAAACTACAAGTACTACCAGAAGTTTCTCTACAAGGCAGAAGGAATTAAACTCGACGGATGGGTCGAGAGCAGCAAGATTTCTCCTCCGACAGTCTGGAGACATTTTGGGCTGGATAAAATGTCGGCCTCGCAGCGTGAGACGAGTGACAACATGAGGGTCTACGTGAGGTATCTGAAAAAGTACGACGATGCAGTATATCGCTACGGATATAAGGAATATTTCCCCAGTTCGGAAGCGGAAAAACAAGTCTACCTTAAAGTTTGGGCCATGACCGACAGACCTGATCAATATGTTCTCAAACGGTTAAATATTGACCGCGGAGAAAACAAATACTTCAGTTACAACTACAAAAGAATGAGGACACGCTGGAAGACTGAGGAAGAGATCATGGCCCATCCAAACTACTACCTTTTTAGGGAGTTTCAGAGATTGAAAGCGCAATCCTGGTGATCTGCTCGCTGCGACGTATGTGCTCCACTTGATAAAGATAATATAGCCCCAGCAAACGCATTTCGGATGGCAGCTAATTTTTTCTGCAATCGTATGTGTTACGAAGCAAGCCTTACTGATACTGGGAATTCCGAAGTGGACAGCCCAAACGGATTAATTTCACGGTACTGTGTGAGCGTAACCTGGCCAAACATTCGTACAACATTCTAGAGTACAGTACATCTGAACAATTGCCACTACAGTTCGACATGATGTCTGTAGTGACACTCAGTACTGATGTTATGCATTGCCCGCACAGTGTGTTTGTACAGTGTGTCAGTTATGCAATGCGAGTATCGTGCGTTTTTTTTTACAGTATGTGAGTACAGAATGCCAATCCAGTCTGTTAGGTATTAAAGTCAGGCAATTAGAAGCAACAGCAAGCGCAACACCGGCATCAGTTTTTTGCTAGTCTGCACAAGGAATTTCATGATGCAAAGGAGCGAACAAACCCGGACATTTTGAACAGGACAAAACCACCACAATTTGTAGGCGGCAAGGTAGGCGAGGTAGCAGCTGGAGCATACCTTCCTTAATGTAGTGCAATACTGAATTCTCCTTCCAAGACACAATGACAGCGGCAAAACAACAACGAGCAATATTAAAATTTGACGCAATTATTGCAATATCTACTGAAATACACGAGAACTTACATTATTAACGTTTAGGTTGAGCTACGACGTCAACATCAGAACCCAGCAACCACTATGGTGAAAACAAGGCAGGCGTCGGCTGGGTCAATAACGTCGCTGGAGCTTATTGATCACACTCAGCGGTGAAGATGCCAGTGGCGTCAGTGGCAGTTATCACAATCAGAATTGTGTATGCAGTATCGAAGTCAGGGGCCCAGTAAAAATTCTATTAGTGTCTGTGTCAATAATAAGTACTTGTATTTTGTAAAGCAATAATAAATATTTCCGCAATTCTTATTTTATTGCAATACATATACTTTATGAGATGAAGTCTATTTAACAAACTGCGCTATTAGCTTCCTGATAGAGCCTCATTCTTTTAGCAGCGCCATCTCCGTTTGGTGAAGCCATGGTGCTGGGGGCGAGTATGGTTCATCCACGTGGCTAGTGTCGCCTACTCGCAGTCCAACGTACCGAATCATGTGGTTTAAAGTCTTGAGTTTGTACTTGGCCGTAGAAAATAACAAACTATTAGAGCGTAACCACTATCCATGTAGCCCTATCACATATCTATTTAAACTTGAGCTGTTAAAAATTACGCGTTCTTTTTTGTTTAATTGTGCTTCCCCTCTGCTGCTACGAGACACCTCGTCGAAATTCCCCCTTGAGGTCTTAGTGCACAGATTAAAGACTGAGCAGGCTTTACTGATTTTTCTTCTGGCTTATTATCCGACTAGCTTCTTTTTCGAATACCGTTTTCCAGTTAGCAAACTCTTTCAAGCTTAAAAGTAGCAAAAGAAACTATCAATTACCACACACCAGTTCCATTAAAAACGATTCTAACAAGCTGCCGATCAATCAATCAAATTCTCACTTAAGTAATGAATTGCTCCCGCTTATAATATTAACAATTATTCACACAACATCGAGCCAAAATATACTTAACCAGGGAGAGTGTTTCACGAATTAAACCTTGAGTGGTGTGCGATAGCAGCTTACCTTATGGAAATTGCTGCGGATTTCAAATTGTACTTTCAGTACCATAATCCCATAACACCAAAGAAAATGCTTCTTGTAAACCAACGCTTTCTTACAGAATCCACATCTTGAACAGCTTTTTTTTATGTCTGGAACGTCTAGCCAAGCACTGCAGCGCCTTCGTTAGGATTATGGCAGTTATGGTTCGGTTAAACATCCTTAATATGTTCAGCACTATTCCTCCTCAGCGGGATACACTGGATAATTTGCTCTAGCCATCCTTCGATCAGGTAATCCCCTGGTCTAGCGGCATCGCCTGAATAATCGTACTTTGCTTCTTGACCAAATTCAGTCGTAAAAATATCAGGGCAATTCACACGTAGAAACAAAAGCACATCGAACTGGTTATTCGAGCGGAGCCAGAATCGATTAGTCGGTGGAGCAACA